ACGTGAAGATCTACAATATGCGGTGGAACCAGTAAAGATTGTGGGTCATCAGGTGAAGAAACTGAGGAACAAGGAGATTCCGATGGTAAAAGTTCTTTGGAGGAGTGATCGAGTCGAAGAAGAAACCTGGGAGACTGAGGTCTCAATGAGGGAGCAATACCCGTTTCTTTTCGATTAGACACGTGGATTTCGGGGACGAAATCCCAAATAAGGGGGGGTGAACTTGTAACACCGTCCCCAAATGTATTTATTTTTAAGAGTATAATGTATTGAACCTTACGGAATGGTTAAAGAGTATACGAAGTTGTGAATTTTTAATATTTCTTTTGCGCAAATAGTAAATTCGCACGCGGGACCCACACTGGGAGCGGGGCCGCCCGATATTCCCGAGACCGTATATTTTATCCAACTTGGTCGAAATAATATTTATATAGAGGGGGATAATTTACTTGGTCCAAAGCAATGACATAATGTGGACCGATTGGTCAAAAGCGGCTCAATTATCGGTATTGGTGATTTAACGGATAATAGCCCGAAATTGGATTTCGGAGACCTATAAATTAAAGTTGGGGAATGTACATTCATTATAAAGGGTATAATGATTAAGAACACATAATATATTTTATTTGACCCGATAAAGTAAAATACAGTTAAAACAGTCCGAAAAATACAACTTTCGGGACCGATTGTACACATTGGGACACAAAGGGATGACCTCCCACATGAGTGGGGGCCATCCCACGTTTTTTTGTGCTAGAATGGACAAGGGGGAGCTGGGTTGACAAGAGGATGAGTGGAGGAGGTGCAAAGGGACCCTTTGACCTCACTCATTGGCCATTTGAGACAAAACCAAGTCTCACAACCCATCCCCCCTACCATATTTCGGCCATCACAAGGAAAAGAGAGAGATAGGAAGCTCTTCAACCCCATACTCCATAGCTAATTCGAGCCCAAGCAAGGAAGTTCCAAGGAGGGAGATTAAAGGGAGAAAAAGGCTAGGAAAAGTGAGAAAGATTAAGGTAATGACCTTGTATTAACTTTTCCTTTATTTTTCCCCTACCCTATGAGGTACATATCTTATGGAGAACCCTTGAGGTTGTTCTACATGTCAATAGTGTGGAATAATGGGTTGGGGAGTAGTTCTAAGTCCAAGAACGGACTTAGAAGCCAAACCGACCGGTTCACCGGAAAATAACCTTTTAAGGGTTATGTGTATTGATTAAGGTTTTATGATGTTAAAACCTTGTTAGGAACTTGATTTAGAGTATCTTTGAGCTTCGCCGGAGTTTCGCCGGAGTTGGTCAAAGTTGGCCGGAGTTGGTCAAAGTTCACCGGAATTAGTCAAAGTTCAACCGCGGAGCGTAGAACACGCTTAAGCTCACTTAAGGTGAGGATGACCGACTATATTGCTTATAATTATTGGGTTAATTTCATAAGATTACCTAAATGAATTATATGTGTTTGGCATGATTTATTTATAGTACAAAAATGCCTAAATGAGATTTTTATTGTTTATAAGCAAAAATGCATAATATACAAATTTATGAATAAATTGTGTATGATTATGTGTTATGAATACAATGGTATAATAGTTGTGTAAACTATAAACCAAATTGTGATAAATATACTTTTACCTCATGTAAGGAAGTCATGGAAGGATAAAAGTGATATTTTGATATTAGAGCCAAGTTGTACTTGAATGTGGAATTTAATTGAGATATTCAAATTATTATGAACTCAAGTTACATTTGGAGTAGGCCTTAAGGGTTACTCAAAATGGATGGAACCTAGACTAAGAAGTGGTTTAGGGATTAGTTGACGTGACTATGAGCCGAGCTCTAGCACGTGGTAGTATGACTATGAGCCGAGCTCTAGCAAACGTAGGGTGACTATGAGCCGAGCTCTAGCACAAATTAGTATGACTATGAGCCGAGCTCTAGCAAACGTAGGGTGACTATGAGCCGAGCTCTAGCACAATTTAGTATGACTATGAGCCGAGCTCTAGCAAATGTAGTGTGACTATGAGCCGAGCTCTAGCACAATTTAGCATGACTATGAGCCGAGCTCTAGCATGAAGGAACGTGAGTTAATTATAAGTGAATAACATCCTAGATTGAGGGTCTTGGAAATTGAAACTTTGATTATACTTAGTATAGTTGTCATTGTACTTGTCAAATGCTTCCAAGTACTGACCTCCCCTTCACGGGGGAGGCCACCTCACAGTTTCAGGTAGGGAGTAAAGCTTGCTGCCATCACCGTTGCTCGGGTAGGATCCAAGAAGAGGAGACGTGGTTCGTGCCTCTTCAGATTCCATTTTTCAAACACTTTAATTAATGCTCATGGATAATGTTTTTCTATTGAATATTTAATGGGGGCTTGTATGCCCATGTTTGCCAAAGTGTGGCATGAACACTTGTACCAAATGTTTCCGCTGCTTCGAATGAATATTTTACATTATGTTTGTTTATGGATGTACTATGCGTGAATGATATCCCAGACGCCTTGTATAGTATGAATGTGTTGGACTGCGGTTGACTATTCGTACTGTACGGCGGATTGTTGGCGTGTCCGGATAGGTCCGGGGCGTGACAAAACACCCTCATAATCCTTACTAAAAGAAAATGAGAACATTTAAAGAACGAAACTGGACCAAATTAAAAAGAGTATATTTTTTGAGCTAGAATATTGGTCAAAGTTGAAGATTAGGCACAATCTCGATGTAATGCATATTGAAAAGAATGTATGTGAGAACATTCTTGGCATAATACTAGGTATAGAAGGAAAACCGAAAGATACATACAAGGCCAAGATTTGAAAAAGCTCGGAATAAAAAAAATTTGTGGCTAGATGGAATGGTGAGAAGTGGATAAGAGTCATCCATTCTTTACAACGAGACCAAACATGAAAAAGGAATTCTTCCAATTATTAAAATCCATAAGATATCCAGGTGGTTATGCTGCCAATATATCAAGGAATGTGTCACTTGAGAAAGGAAAACTCTCTGGGTTGAAAAGCCATGAACACCATGTATTACTCCAGAGAATACTTCTAGTGGGCATTTGAAACATTCTTACCTAAAGAAGTGGCTAAACCAATTAGCTGTCAAGTTTATTTTTTCAAGCAGTTATGTGCTAAAACAATAAGTATGGAGGACATGAAAAAGTTACAAGATGAGATTGTTTACATATTTTGTCAACTTGAACAAATACTTCCACTAACTTTCTTTGTTTGTATGATTCACCTAATGATGCATTAACCCGAAGAGGCACAAAGTGCATGTGCTGTAAATTCAAGGTGGATGTACCCAATAGAGAGGTAACTAAATTTATCTTCATAAAGTACTAAATTTATAATTTTCAGTCACATATTAAATCTTAGAGTTATGCTTCATTTTGTTATCAAGTGTATAATGTTGGACAAACTTAAAAAAAATTTGCGCAATCAAACTCGGCCAGAGGGATCAATCGCGGAGTCTTATATTGGACAAGAGTCACTAACCTTTTCTTCAATGTATCTTAAGAGTTCTGACATGCCTTCCAACAAAAAGGGGCACAACTATGATGGTGGTCTTCAGGAGGAGACATTTATCTATTTTTTCACATATTATGAGTCGTTCAAGTGTTCCATTTTCTGCAAGCAATATGGAGGTTGCTCATTGGTTCATTTTAAACAATTGTGATGAAGTTACACCTTTTTAGAGTAAGTAAATTACAACAAATTTCCCCTATTCATTATTGATTAAACAAGTATATACTTACATTTAGGGAGCACAAACAGAATATTAGGGCGGAAAGCAGTGTGAATGTAAGTAAAAGACAGAAAACTATTTCCAACTTGGTTTCGTGAACGGGTAAACATACTCACTTTTGTATACCTTATAAAATATTATTTCATTTTATATCTATATTTTAGGAAGTAACATTTTAATTTAATTAGGTGCAAGGTTTAAGGGTTTTGAAGTCCCCCTTATATAATGAGGAGCTATTTGAGCTAGCTAGAAACATATCAAGGTTGTACTGTCAATGGAGTAAAATTCATAGTCGGAGAAAGAGATCATAAGTTTACAACGCAAAACAGTGGTGTCTCTGTACCTGGGAGTCACAATTGTGATGATGTATATAGAAAGATACAAGATCAATCTGTTCAAATGTCACTGGTAATACCTAAGGAGAGATTACCACTTGATTTCTGTCTATACCAACACAAAATGGTATGATAGTGATCCTTACATTCTTGCTACAATGGCAAAACAAGTATTTTATGTAGATGATCCCAAAGCAGGTGGTAGTTGGAAAGTAGTTCAGAAAGTTGATATCGAAACATATACGATATACCACAGATGGAGATCGATGCAGAAGGGGATAATGTATATGATGACATTAAATATAATTAAGTACTAGTTATCTAATAAAGATAATTAAACATTACAAAAATCAAGAATTTTTATATATACGTATCCTAAAACTTAAACAATGAGTTGTTCTATTGTTTATTTAATGAAGTTATGTAAATTATTCTAGATGTTCCTTCTTTTAAATCTCTAATTAAGCATTACATTATGTAAGACTATATATTAATTTTGAAAACTAAAAGTTAAGGGGGGCGAATCTAATTAAAGTATGAAAATTTTCCTAAAATATTACATATATAGTAAAAACAATTGAAAGTCCAAGAAGGGCGGTCGCCCCCTCGCCCCCCCCTAAATTCATCCTGTGTGTGTGCGCGCGCAGTATGTGCAATGTGTTTGCGCGCGCGCAGTATGTGCAATGTGTGTGTGTGTGTGTGTAGTGTGTGTGTGTTTGTGTCGGGACAAATTTAAAAAAAAAGTTGTGCCCGCCCCGACAACCCAAACTTTTAGGCTCGCCCAAACCCGTCCCGGGGCCCGGGCCACCCCTACACGGTATAAGACGTATCTAAAATACACATCTTGTTTAATGTAATGCTTATTACACGTATCAAAGTAATGAGTTTTAAATGTGCAATGACTATTACATTACGATCCCGATTTAAAATAAAATGACATACCAAACATGGTAATCAAATCAACATGTAATGCTCATTACATTACATGGTTGATTATCTCATACAAAAGATGACTTTCATTTAACATACGTTATTTATATCAGTCCACCCCAAACTTCTGTCCTGGCCCCTATAATTAAGACGCCCCTGATTACAACCAATGCGAAATAACTGATGCAGGTAGATTAAATAAATCATACGGAGTAACATGATATGTTAATAGTTAAAGCTATCGACTCAAGTGTATCGATCATAGGTAATTAATAAGTGATTGTAGAACAGACATGCATTGATTCATGTCCATGCATGCATCAATAAATTACTACGTACATAGTTAGTAAACTCGAATGCTGGTGTCAATGGTAATCCCAGCTTTCCATTCCACCGGAATCACGGTCGTATCCGACTCGAACCATTTCGCATCCGTCCCTTTGTTTACTAGAAATCTCACCTTTAGTTCTCCGCTCGGTGGGTTCGGCAAGTCCCATACTGCACCATACACTCTCCTCATTGATACCCACTCATCTGTCTCTTCCTACGCAAACAAATTGACTTTTTTTGATCAACTGCAACCAACTTTGACCAATGATATTTTTAATACTATGTACAAAATTATTTTGAATGTGAAAATTATAATCGAGTATCAAAATGTTCCTTATTCAAAATATTTTATAAAAGTATAAAATTTATAAATTATATACAAATATAATAATTAATTAAAATCATATCAAAAATTTGTCATCATTATTGACCAAGAAAAGTAATATGACAAATCATTTCGGGACGGACGTACTATTATATTTGTAGTAAATTTCACGAAGTACTCATATACAACCAAGGTTAAACACGATGATATTGGTTTATATATGTATAATTCTACAATTCACATGCATTCATGAAAATATCAATATAAGATATATTTGATCTGAAATTCCAAAAATTGGCATTGGAAAAATGTAAGGAATTAATTAATTATTAATACAATTTTTAAAAGATAAGCATGCATCAAATTTTTTGCATAAAAACTTTAACCACTAAAAATTTTCGTAACATGGCATTAGTTACAAATCCATAGATAACAAAATATGCTATTAACATTCTCTAACAACACAATTAAACAACCTTGATATATATGGGTTATATACTTATATCTGATACTTGTAAAATTATCAAGATTTTTCTTAAGGAATGCTTTGTTGGCTGATTTTTTTTACATCGACTAGAATCATGTACACAATCTCAAAGCATGCCATGCAATTGGGAAGAAAACATTAGAATCATGTACACAATCTCAAAGCATGCCATGCAATTGGGAAGAAAACATTAGGAAGAAAATTTATGTCATTATAAAAAGCAAGACAATTTGCTTTAAAGTGGAGAAAAGTTAATATGAAGTTCCAAAATAGGATTACTATAATTTCATAAATCAGATTAATTAATGCGGATCGGAAATTGATTTCAATTATGGCATGAAATAGTGCTATATTAACATATGGTAATGGCAAAATATGACAATATATGATTAAATGCGCACACAGTAAATTAGGGTACCGTACCTACCATGCATTTGATTAGTCCAAATCATTCTATTCCTTTTAATTTAGATTTAATTAATTCAACTGCATCATTCCTATTGGTTCATGTGTACAAAGGTATGGTACCTTAAGGGTACCGTAGAATCTACCTATTATTACACCCCTATCATGCAATTTAACTTTTTTACTCTAGTTTTGAGAAACTCCTCAAATATTAATGGATTATTAGAACTGACCTCAGAGACCTCAACAGCAAATATGTCACTAGCACCACCTTGATTGGTAGGGACAAGAGACAGGTAGTGAGGGTATTGGCTATTCTCGTGGACCTTCACTGTGAGATTGCCTTCTGTTGTGCAAGGAACTCGACGATATTCGACGTCTAAAACACCTTTCTCTGTTAAGATGTCGGCCATCCTCGGCTGCTTGGCTAGCCTCTCATAGGTGCGGTGGTTGAGGATGAAGTCTATGTCGTTCCGCCCTTCTGTATAATCAGTTGCCATTACATTCTCTCCATCTCGACTGCACAGTCCATTGTTTTTGCACCTTACCTGAAATTATTACATAACTTTATACTGCGTATATATGTTGTTGATATATACGTAGTACAATTTTCACAATGCAAAATTGTTCGTTACAGATTTCATGAGTATGTTAAAATGTACGAGTACTTATAAATCTTCAATGGACAACTAACCTACCTATAGTACATAAATTGTCAAATGGATCGGTCCATGAGTTAGAGTGTGGGTGAGCTAAAGAGTGATTATATTAAATTTAAGTATATACTCTCTCCGTCCCGAAATGAAGTTCCTAATTTGATCTACGCACATATTTAATTACGTAGGATAAGATTTTATTTTGACTTTCCAAATATGTCCTTACTATATGTCAAATGAATCAAAAAGTAGATAAAAAGTAAGTGTAGTTGTGACTTTTTGCATAAAAGTGAAAATTGCATATATGTTTTTAAAAAAATTATGTTTTTTAAATTATGAAATGACAACAAAAAAATTTAATTTCAATTTTATTTATTTTTTGCATCGGAACGTTTGCCTTTTTAGATCATAATGATTCCGAAAAAAGGATAAGTTACGTTAGTATTTCCTAGAGCCGCTCTTCGAGAGCTCTAGAGCGCCGCCTCCTAGGGTTTGCCTAGGGGCGTTTGTCCGGCCACGATCGTTCGGTCGTAGTGCGAGTTTGGATTTTTCGTCTGTTAGTTGCTGATCTTGGCATAACAGATCGTGTTTTTGTTTCTTCTTTGGGAGTGGGGTCATCGACCTAATCGTTTTGGTATCTGTCTTGGTTGATTCGAGCAAGGCATTCGTTGATTGCTTTAATTGTGTTCGACCGAGGTGTTCGGTCTCGACAATGAGCAAGGTCGGAGTTTCTAGCAGAAGGTTAGAGCAACAACTTTGCATGGATAGCTTTGTGGACAAATACAAGAGGATGGCGAATGGGGCAGAGGAAGAAGAACTAGATCTAATTGAAGCTGATGTTGAGGTTATAGTGGATGAGCGACGGACGCGTCCCCCTCCCGAGCCGCCGCCATGGAAGACAAGCAAATCTAGGGTTTTGAAGAAGATTTATTTTATTTGTCTCGTTTGTTTTTCCACTAATTTTTATGCCCGTTTTGTTATTTGCTTTTTCTTTATTGTTCCTGTTTGTAAGACGTTGATTTGGATATGGGGATTGAGAGGAATAGGGTGACCATTTTTGGCTGTTTGTTTCCCAATTATGGACCAACGAATTTTATTGTTGCGGCGATTAATTCCGAGTCTGGTTCGAAGGATAACGGTTGTCAGATTTCTTTCTGTCTTTTGACCCATACTCTGAAAATTATTGGTTATTAATAAAAGCCGAATTTAATGAAAAGATTTTAATAATAATAAAAGTAAGATTTTAATGAAAAGAACTTTATTGGGTGAACTCGTATAAACAAGTGAAAAATTTGATTGGACCACATCACTTTATCATTTTTAATTTACATTTAAATAATTTAACTGCTACATTCTCATTGGTCCATTTGGACAAAGATATGGTACCTTATGGGTACCATAGAATCTACCCTACGGTTAACCATAGATTGGCAATCTTAACTTCTTAAGTGATCCAATAATAAGAAGTCCTAAAAGGGAAGGGGAGGTTGCCTAAAGAATTTAAGCCCTAAGCCCCTAACGAATGTAATTGGGCAAATTAGTCCAAACAAAGTTATTATACGGCAATAAGTACGGAGTAACACGGCGCGCAAACTGCAGAGGCGGCTTTTGTTTTACGATGTTGTAATAATATCCCAAAAATTTAGGTTGCCAAGGCTGTCTTCGGATGTTTTTCCCCAAATCTGGATTTGCGATTTTTCTTAATCGTAGAATTTAAGATTCTTCTTAGTCGTAGGTAAGTATTAATACGGTTACAGACCTTATGAGATGAAATAAGATCGTATATGAAGTTGAGAGACGAAAAACAGAGATGGAAGGAAAAGTATTATGCAAGGAGCAAGCTCAACTTGATGAGTATCGATTACAAAATATCTGGCTAAGCATCACTTTACAATTTGCTCTATTTATAGTTCTTGTAAGGAACAAAATGAATTAACAGAAAACTATTTTTATTAACTACTTCTTAACAAACTTCTCCAGCTAACTAACTGTATCAATACTTCCCCCTCTAAAAAGACTTGTCCTCAAGTCTTAAACTTGAAACTCAGGGTATTTCTGCATAAACTCTTCAGCCACTTCCCAACTTGCTTCTGCATCTGAATATCCTTGCCATTGAACTAGAAATTGAGTTTGAGCTCCATTCTGATACTTCACCATACGTCTTTTAAGAATAGCTTTAGGCTGAGGAGTAAAATCATCATTCTGTCCTTGAAACCAAACAGGAATTTGGGCTGCAACAGGAATGGTACCATGAAACGGTTTTAAAAGAGAAACATGAAATATATCATGTATCTGTGCAGAATCTGGTAATCTCAGTTTGTATGCTACTGCACCAATCTTAGCAGCCACTTGAAATGGTCCATAGTATTTGTAAGCTAATTTCTGATTAGTTCGTTGTTGAACCGAAATCTGTCTGTAAGGTTGTAGCTTTAACCAAACCCAATCACCTGTAGAAAATATTCTATCAGATCTGTGTTTATCAGCCTGATGCTTCATTCTCTGTTGAGCCCTAATTAGATGATGCTTTAGCAACTTCAACATTTCTTCTCTCCTCCGTAAAGATCTATCCACACTATCCACCTTAGATTCACCTGGTAAGTAGGGTAAATGCAAAGGAGGAGGTTGGTTATAAACTATCTCATAAGGAGTCATTTTAGCAGCAGATTGAAAATGAGTATTATAACTCCATTCTGCAATGGGTAACCATTTAGCCCAATCAGAAGGCTCATCTCCACAGAAACATCTCAGATATGTCTCAATACCTCTATTAACCACCTCAGTATTGCCATCAGTTTGAGGATGGTATGCAGATGACAACAAAAATTCAGTTCCCTGTATGGTGAATAAAGACTGCCAAAATTGACTAAGGAAAATGGCATCTCTGTCACTGACTATACTCCTTGGCCAACCATGTAACTTGAATATGTTATCCAAGTAAGCCTGAGCAACTTCTATTGCTGAAAAAGGATGAGACAGAGCTATAAAGTGTGCATATTTGCTTAGCCTGTCTACAACCACAAAGATAACCTCTTTACCCATTGATTTAGGTAAACCAGATATAAAATCCATCGATATATCTACCCACACTTCTTCTGGAATTGGTAAGGGCTGAATGAAACCCGGGTAGGCAGAATTATCATACTTGGCAGCTTGGCAGATTTGGCATTGTCTGATAAAACTACTAACATCCTTATTTAGACCTTTCCATGTAAACAACTTCTTGATCCTTGCAAGTGTAGCATCCCTACCTGTATGACCACTTTCTGGAGCTGAGTGATGCCAAGTTATAATTTTCAGCCTTAAATTCTCATCAGGGCCTACCAGAATTTTCCCTTCTTTCCTAATCAAACCATCTTTCAATTGGTACTTTGGCATTGATAGATGTTGATTCAATTTGTTCAAAAGCTCCAAAGTGTTGTCATCTAATGCATAACTTCTGTAAATCAATTGTTGTAGGTCAGATGATACCACAGATAAAGCCATGTTTAATATTTCATTCCCTTGAACTCTAGAGAGTGCATCAGCAGCCATATTCTCTTTCCCAGGTCTGTATACAATTTCATAATCAAAACCCATAAGCTTGGATAGCCAAAATTGCTGGAATGGTGTATTGATTTTTTGTTGCAGAAGCCATCTTAGACTCTTCTGATCAGTCTGAATAATGAAGTGTTGCCCTGACAAATACTGTTCCCATTTCTGAACTGCAAACACTATAGCTAGCAATTCTTTCTCATAAACTGATAATTTCTGCCACTTATGACCCAAAGCTTTGCTGATGTATGCGATAGGGTGTTGTTTTTGCATGAGAACTGCTCCAATTCCAAAGCTAGATGCATCAGTTTCAACCACAAAAGTTTCTGAAAAATCTGGAATTGCTAGTATAGGAGCAGAAACCAGAGCTGTTTTCAATCTTTCAAATGCAACCTGAGCTTCATCTGACCAAATAAAAGCCCCCTTTTTAAGAAGGTTTGTAAGAGGTTTGCTGATGGAAGCATAATTTCTTACAAACTTTCTATAATAACCTGATAAACCAAGAAAACTCCTCAACTCTTTCACATTTTGTGGTATGGGCCAACTAGCAACTGCACTAATTTTCCTAGAATCAGTCTCAACCCCAGTTCCTGAAATGAAATGCCCAAGATACTCAATTCGGTTGATGGCAAATTCACATTTGCTTGCTTTCGCATACATCAAATTCTTCTTCATTAATTCAAACACTTCTGCAAGATGATTCCAATGATCAGTTTCAGTCTTACTATAGACCAAAATATCATCAAAAAATACTAGCACTGATTTCCTTAGTAGAGGTTTAAACACATGATTCATCCAATTTTGGAAAGATGCCGGAGCATTGGTCAATCCAAAAGGCATTACCAAAAATTCAAAGTGCCCTGAATGTGTTTTAAAAGCAGTTTTGTGCACATAAGTAGGATCCATTCTCAATTGATGATAGCCAGACCTTAAGTCTAGCTTTGAGAATATAATAGCACCAGACAATTCATCAATGAGTTCATCTATTACTGGAATAGGAAACCTATCTTTAATGGTTTTCCTATTCAATTCTCTGTAATCAATACACAATCTCCAACTTCCATCTTTCTTTCCTACTAACACAATTGGAGATGCAATGGGACTAGAGCTATCCTGGATAATTCCTCTTTGTAACATATCTTGAACCAAGTCTTCAATGATATCCTTCTGTTTGAGTGAATACCTGTAAGGTCGAATATTGATAGGTAAAGTTCCCTGTTCCAAAGGTATTCTATGATCAAAAGCTCCCCTCAGAGGAGGCAAAACTGTAGGTTCTTCAAAAACACAGCTATATTTTTGCAACAATTGCTGCAAATCAGGTTTTTGAGGCGAAATTTCTGTAACTGAAGTAGATCTACATTCAGGCAACATTTCTGACTCTCCCATTTCAGATAATTCAGAGGGTAACAACCTAAGTAAGAACAATTGATTGGCCCTCTGAACAGATTTCTTTATAGCATAATCTCCTTCCATTAATTCTACATTCTGAGATGGAATGCCTCTGAAATTATATGAATTGCCATCCAAAAAGAATTCCATAGAAAGATCCTTGAAATTCCACTTGACAGTGCCCAAGTTATATAGCCATTGGATTCCAAGTACCATATCACATCCCCCTATAGGCATTACCAACACATCATCTATGAAGGTAACCTTTTGCATACTCCATTCAAACCTTCTGCAAATAAATTCACACGTAACATGATTACCATCAGCTACAGCTACTGTCTGAGAAGGAATTCTCTCCAATTTACAACCCAGTCTTCTTGCTAGCTGTAAGTCAATGAAATTATGAGTGCTACCCGAGTCTATGAGAATTTGAATAGCTTTATTTGCACTGAATCCAACCATTCTCATGGTGGTGAATTTCTTCTTGGGTTGCTGAAACAGATTGCATTCATCACCACAAAGTGCATTCATTGAGATCACAGGATCAGAAATTTGAGGATTCAATAATTCCTCCTCTATAGAACACTCACCTTCCAATTCTCCATCAATCTCTACCATAAACACTCCTTTTGTTGCACATTTGTGCCCTCTCTCAAATTTTTCATCACAGAAAAAACACAAGCCTTTAGCTTGTCTATCTGCTCTTTCAGCAGCTGAGATGTACTTACCAAATTTCTGAGTGTTTTTGGTATTTTCTGGAGCAAATTTCATAGGGTTGTAAGAGGGTTTAAAGGTGTTATTGGTATGTGTGGTAGTTTTGGGATTTGTAATGTTAGGAGAGTAAGAAGAGAATGTTGTATTAGGTATATTTGGTGCAGTAGCAGATGGATCAACTTTCTGATTTGTCAGTGCATTGGAGTATGTGAATTTAGGGCTCTTTAAGGCTGCTATGTTCTCTTCTTGTAGTCTAGCAAGTTCAGTAGCGTTAGCAATTGAATCTGGTTTAAACGCTCTCACAAATGGTTTTAAGGAAGGCTTCAATCCACCTATAAAACTCTCCAGAAAGTAATCATCAGGGAGGTTCTTATTTCTAAGCAACATTAATGACCTCAGATTTTCAAATTCATCAATATAATCTTCTAGAGAACCAATCTGGCACAACTTATTGAATTGTTCCACCACCTTACCATTAGCATCATCCTTAAATCTGGCCGTCAAATCAGATACAAATTCATCCCAATCAATTCCACTCCTACCAGACAAATAACTACTCACCCAAGATTCTGCACGACCATGCATATACATAGATGCAAAATCTACTTTCTGATTATCAGGGATTTTACACAACTCAAAGTACTTTTCACATTTCCTTATCCATACTCTAACATTCAGTCCATCAAAAGAAGGGAATTCCAGTTTTGGAGCATACCAGAGAGGTTTAGGGTTAGGATTTGTATGATTGTCACTTTTCTTGCAGAAATTAGTAGAATGCGGTGAGTGATTATCGTTAGGATCTTCTTGATCCAAGAACTTCTTACTCAGCAAATCCAATGTTTTAGCGATCGCTGAAATTTCTCTTTCCACATTCTTGAATCGATTGTCTACTCTCTGTTCCAGATTCCCCAGTTGTTCATCCATTGCTGATAGTTGGGAAGACGGAATTTGAGTCTTGTTCTTGCTTCTTGTACGAGCCAGAATTTTTCTCCAGGAATTTTCCGGTGAAATTTCCTATCTCCGTCACCAGAAGGCTGGCTCTGATACCAATAATACGGTTACAGACCTTATGAGATGAAATAAGATCGTATATGAAGTTGAGAGACGAAAAACAGAGATGGAAGGAAAAGTATTATGCAAGGAGCAAGCTCAACTTGATGAGTATCGATTACAAAATATCTGGCTAAGCATCACTTTACAATTTGCTCTATTTATAGTTCTTGTAAGGAACAAAATGAATTAACAGAAAACTATTTTTATTAACTACTTCTTAACAAACTTCTCCAGCTAACTAACTGTATCAAGTATTTTTTTGTCTTCTGATATGTATACTTCTTTTATACGGAGTAGTTTTCTCAGGCTGGCCTACTATTTTATTTTATTCTACAGTGTATGGTATTTTCTGGATTACCGTTCTAAAACCTTGGTTTATGCAGGTGCCGCATACTCTAATCTTTGGACCCAGAGTCTTCTGAATAACACTGCTCTAGTTGTCTTTCCAATGGCAGTCCATATGAACATGGTAAGTCTACAAATTCCCTGAGATGAAAGGTTTCTTTTATTTTGATTTCCAAGATTTCTTTTATGAATTTGTCAAATTGATGAGTTTTGTGGAATAGTTGCTGTTTTGTTTCTTTGCACTTTTCTATTCTGAATGAATAGCAGTTTCAGCAAAGAATAATGGGATTCATGCTCTGGGATATGAATCCTAGTGCTCCAATTTTCTGGCTTATATGATTTTAACAAATCTGATGATTGTTTATTCATGCAAGTAGATTATTTTATTAATATTTGTTTCGGTTTCCAGGAGTATGAGGATGATGATGATTATGTTGAGTATGTTCCTGTGGCAAAACGAAGGGCGCTTGAGGCACAGAAGATCCTGCAGCGAACGGGGGAATCTACACAGTCAAAAAAGGAAGCTGAAGAGACAAAACAAGTTGAGGAAAAAACAAGTTTGCTTATGAAGGCTACTCAGTTGAAGAAGGAGATGCCAGATGTGAGTGTTGCTGAGCAAATCTTTCAGCAAGAGAGAGAAATTATTGAGCATCTCTCTGACAGAAAGGCTCTGATGTCAGTGCGTGAACTTGCAAAGGGGATTAATTACACGGATCCTATGTTCACCGGTTGGAAGCCTCCATTAGGCATCAGAAGGATGCGAAAGAGGTCTCGTGACTCCATTCTTAAACAGTGGCACATTCTTGTGGATGGAGATGATACCCCTCCGCCCATTAAAAACTTTAAGGATATGAGGTTTCCCAAACCAATACTGGACAAGCTTAAATCTAAGGGAATTGTTCAACCGACTCCTATCCAAGTACAAGGATTGCCTGTTGTCCTGTCCGGAAGAGATATGATTGGAATAGCATTTACAGGGTCTGGGAAGACGCTGGTTTTCGTTCTGCCACTTATCATGGTGGCCTTACAGGAGGAGATAATGATGCCGATTGCGCGTGGTGAAGGGCCATTTGGATTAATCATTTGCCCTTCTAGAGAGCTAGCACGACAGACATATGAAGTTATAGAAGAGTTTCTAGAGCCTCTAAAGGAGGCTGGGTACCCTGAGATAAGATCTCTATTATGCATTGGAGGAACTGACATGAAGTCCCAGCTTGATGTGGTCAAGAAAGGAGTTCACATTGTGGTTGCCACACCTGGAAGACTAAAAGATATGCTTGCTAAAAAGAAAATGAGCCTTGACAATTGCAGATATTTAACACTAGATGAAGCAGACAGACTAGTAGATCTCGGGTTTGAAGATGACATCAGGGAAGTTTTCGATCGTTTTAAATCCCAAAGACAAACTCTACTTTTTTCTGCCACAATGCCCGCAAAGATCCAAAGCTTTGCACAAAGTGCTTTGGTCAAACCCATAACTGTGAATGTGGGAAGAGCTGGATCGGCTAACTTAGATGTTATCCAAGAAGTTGAGTATGTGAAGCAGGAAGCTAAGCTGCTTTACCTTTGTCCCTGTGTGAAGAAAACGCCCCCACCAGTTTTAATATTTTGTGAGAACAAATCTGACGTGGATAAGATACACGAGTACCTGCTGTTGAAAGGAGTGGAAGCTGTTTCTATTCACGGAGGGAAGGACCAAGAAGAGAGGGAGTATGCTATTTCATCATTCAAAGCAGGGAAGAAGGACGTGTTGGTGGCTACTGATATTGCCTCCAAAGGATTGGATTTTCCTGATATTCAGCACGTGATAAACTATGATATGCCTGCTGAAATCGAGAACTACATCCATAGGATCGGGCGTACAGGTAGGTGTGGCAAAACGGGAATTGCCACAACTTTCATAAATAAAACTCAGAGCCCGACAACGCTTCTTGATCTCAAACGCCTCTTGCAAGAAGCTAACCAAAGGATTCCTCCAGTTCTTGCTGAACTTGAAACTCCTGGGGAAGATGCTGATGCCATCATCACCATTGCAAGTGGGGTCAAAGGCTGTGCCTATTGCGGTGGTCTTGGTCATCGTATTCTCGATTGCCCCAAGCTCGAGCATCACAAGACCCAGCAAATAGCCAATCAAAGGAGGGATTACTTTGGGTCTGGCGGATATCGGGGAGAAATTTGATTTATTCATGTGAATACAGCCATTCTCTGCCTTTATTGCATGTGCTACATTTAAGAATATGCTACTCTATTCTTTATGTTGTATAGACGAGAAATATATGTGTACTTCAATGATTATGTATGACTGAGATATGTTTAACCAAGCGAAGTTTCCTGCCAGCTTAATATATAGTTATGTTGTTTAGTGCAATGCAGTGTGGTTACTCCTCTATGGATTTCTTTATGTGGATATACTCTGTTATAAAATGTCTTTCCTTCTGGCCTGCTTGTTTAACTTTGTGCGTGTGATACACCTAGTAATGCAGTTTCTATATATGTGTGTGTGTGTGTATATATATATATATATATATATTATCTGTTAATATTGAACTTTTTTATAATATTGGATTTTTAGTTTAATCAAACTGAATAATTTGAGTCAAATCTCAAAACATGGGTGCCACTTACAATTCAATTTACTGCAGTGGGTGCTGCAATTGTTAGGATAATGAAGAGCAGAAAATTTGATTGAGATTACCTTGTTTATCTAAAAACTTGAACCCAACAAAAAATTATCAAACAAAGAAAGATCTAACATTATCAAGCTTTACCAGAAGTCCAGAACCCATCAGCCTACCCCATCCCCCCATTGAAATTGAAATAAAGAGAGATATAAAGTAGATTGCCCACAGGACAAGCTGTGTTACTTAGTCTTGCATTTTTTGGGGGATAAAAACACTGTCAATAAAATCATTTGTTTCATTTTATTGATAAACAAGTTGCACTTCTGACACTTCAAAACACAGTTTATCGACATTAAATGTCGAATTATCAAGAAAAGTTAACTACCTGGGTGAATTCATTTTAAAATAAAATAAACCTTACACATCACAGTATCACACTATTATTTATTAGTATCTAAAAGTAAAAGGTCTATAGTAATAACTTATAATGTTCCTGCCAGGGGTGGGCACGGTCCGGTCCGGTCCAATATTTTGCCGAACTCGTATTCATACCGTTACTATTGAAACGGTTCGGTTCGGTCTTAGACCTAAACCCATTTGGTACGGTCCATTTTTAAACTGGACGGTACTATGCCATACCAATACCAAACAACGCCACTTTTTCCTTTAAGTAAAATTTAAAGTTTAGCCATCATCCAAAAATTCACACAATTTATTAATTTTCATATTTCATACTAGCTCCGTTCCAAAGTAATTTGCAAAGTTAACCTTTTTTTGGTCAAACGGTTTCCTTTTATTCACTTAATTAGGATTTCACTTTTTAATATATTTTCTAATTTGTCTATTAAAAAAAAGAGTACTTCGTGTATTCTAATTTGGATTTTGCAACTTTAAAGAGATTTTAATGTGGATTCTAAATATGTAAATTTTAATTTTTAAAAATTGCAAAATTGTATTAATTATCATTAGGTAAGACTTAACATTAATATTGACAAAAAAATGTTGATTTTGCAAATCAATTTGGGACGGATGAGGTAATTAATGAATTTCAGATAAACTATAGTAGTACAAATTTAAATAATTAAACTATACTTTGGTCTTGTTCGGTTCGGTACCGGTTCTCATTTTATGAGAACGGGTCATGGCATTGTTTGGAATCGGTACGGTCCGCTTCGGGACAAAACATTTTGAGATCCGTTTCAAAACCCGTTTATCGGTCCGGTACCATATCGATCTTGTTCGGTACCATGCCGGTTCGTTATTTTTTCCCACCCCTAAATAATAGTCTCACTATAACAATAGTGAGATGATGATTGAAAGTTAGGTGATTCAAATTCCAATACAAAAATTATCTCTATAACAATAGTCGCTTGGTTAAAAGTAAAAAAAGTATGAGTACCAAAAGTCTAAATGATACAATAATGTGAGGACTAAAAATTAGTGCATGACACAAGCACAAACTCGAAAAATTAAATATTTACGCCAATAGTATTATAAACATATTTTTTGACAGATTAGATGAAAACATAGATAGACCATTACCAAAATAAAATGAAATAAGATAAAATGTTTAAAAAGCATGAAAGAGAAAATAGAATGTAACATATGAATTCCAAAAAATGAAAAGGAACCAAGGCAAGGTACGTTACGTTTGCCAACCCATTTGAGCTCATAATGGGTTCAAATATTACCAATTCAGTCAATAATTTTAAAAGTAGCCTTGTTTGGCAAAACAGCTGCACGAAGCTCAAGCACACGTTTACTTCACAAATTATTAAACGGTGCTTATTAAGACTCGCGTTAATAAGCGACGCATAAAATAAGCAGTGCTGTAAGATCGTGTTTACTTCATGAGATTAAAAATACCGTTTAACACTCCAAAATAACCTTATACTTATATAGATACACAAACATTATATTCATCTACACAAGTATATATATAATGTAATACGTGGGGGCCACCTCGTACGCGTACTCATTACCCCTAACCCCTGACCCTACTCATACCCCCGCCCTACCCTACCCCTACCACGACCCTTACCCCCTACCCATACTCCTCTACCCACCCCGTGTACCCGTTACCCCTCCTGGCCCCTACCCCTTACCTTGAACAGTAGGCTCTTACCCCTATCTCCACCCATTAACCCCTACCCCTAGGGCCATGGTAAGAGTAGAGAGAGAGAGTACTAAACCTTTAATAAAAAATGGTAGGGGTACACAAGTTGTACACAACTTGTACACAAAATGTCGGTCACAGACAATTGGTACGGAGTTGTCTATGAGCACAGAAAAGAGTTGTCCGTGTACATAGACAACTTTTGTCTGTGTACACAGACATTTACTTTCGTTTAAAAAGTACACTGGCAGGCGTCTAACACCGACACCAGTTTGCAAATCAATCAATATACAACCATGCTTGATGTACCCACTCTTATACCCATCTTATACTCACAATGTTTGTGAAAGTTTTTTTTTTTGTCTGTGAACCCGGTTCACAGACAATAGTTTGTCTATGCAAAATATTGTCTGTGAACCGGGGTTCACAGACAAAAACAAGGCTTTCACAAACATAGGTGGGTACAAAAGTGGGTATAAGAGTGGGTACAAAGATCATTTTTTATCAACATATGTGCCGTGCCTGTGTGCACAGACAATATTTTCAGGTTGCACGGACAATTATTTGTTTGTGTGAACAAACAATATTTACCACACAGACAATAGTTTTGCAGCTCACAGACAATAGTTGTCTGTGTGATCAACTTTAGTTGTCGGTGTAATCTGTTTTAGTTGTCTGGGTGAACAAAAAATTTAATTGTCTATATATATTCAAATGAATGATGTAGTTGTATACTTTTATGTGTGATCAATTTACATGTAATTTGAAAAAAATAGAAAAATAATAAAAATAGATGAAATAAAATAAATAAACTGATTTTGTGCAAATAATGGAAAAAATATGATATAAAAATGTAAAGAAAAAGAGGATGAAGAAGGGAAGAGGAAGATGAAGAAGGGAAGAGGAAGATGAAGAAGAGAAGATGATCTCTCATTTTCTTTTGAGATTTTCGAATGGGTTGGGTAAAGAGGAACGAGAGAATGGGGGCTTTTATATGGTGTACACTAGGGGCGGGCAAGAATCCCGGTCCCGTTGTCCCATTCCGGTATATCCCGAAACCGTACCGGTGTTGTCCCGTTCCGTTTGGGTCTCATTGAGTTTGTTCCGCACCGGGCAAGAATCTAATACATAGTACTCCGTAGCTTTTAGCTTGTGATGAACATCAATTAACTTTTAAAATGTTAATATTTTGGTGCATGATATTTTAGAAATGCTAATATATATTAGTTACAAATGATTATTTTTTGTTAGTTTGGGACGTCCCGAACCGTCCCGAACTGTTCCGAATCATCCCGGTCCCGATTTAAATGGGACAAGACTAGGACAAAGGCTTGTCCCGTACCGTCCCATCCCATTATTATTAATTGGGACGGGACCGGGATAACCCTAATCCCGAACCGTCCCGACCCATGCCCACCCCTAGTGTACACTTTATGTATACCATGTGTACCTTAAGCATTTTTAACCTTTAAGAGCATCTCCAATGCTATAATGTGCACGGTGCACATGTGGCATGAGAGAGATAAACACAAAAAATTGAATTTATGACATTTCCCTTTCATTCTTTCCACGGTTTTATGTCTTTTTGGTAAGTTTTCCTCTGCAATGTCAAGCACAATGTCTACATCTAGACATTATGTTTGACATTGTGAAGAAAAACTTACCAAAATAATATATGATCCTTCAAATAAGGAGAGAGATATTCAATTTACTATTTTTTATTGGCTATCTCTCATGCCACGTATGCACCGTTCACATTTTAGCATTGAAGATGCTCTAACACTTGTCTGTGTACACAAGCAATTTGACATCAAGTTCTGTCCTTTTTTAAATGAATTGTCTATGTACAGAGGTAATTAGGGGGATTTTGTGTACAATTTGTGTATACACTAAGAATTTTCCTAATTATACGTCCCCTTTCATCTCCTTTCCAAAATAATCTGCATTTTTTTTATTGAGAAGCCTACGGGTCTGTTTGCAACAGCTTCTGCTTTTAAAAAAGTGCTTTTTTTAATGAAATTGGGAGAAGTGATTAAATAAAAGTTGATAGTGTTTGAGAAAAAAGTGATTTTGAAAAGTAAAAGTGGGTAGTGTTTGGTAAAATAAGTGCTTTTTGTGTAATAGAAAAAGTAAAAGCACTTTTGACGCGTAAGCCGAGAAAAATAAAAGTTGTAGTGTTTGGGAAAATAAGTGCTTTTTTAAAGCCAAAAGCTGAGAAGTGCTTTTTTAAAAGCAGTTGCAAACCAACCCGTAGCTTGTGAATACCTGATAGCAAGCACCGCAACCAGCGCCATTCTTGAAAAGCCGACTAGAGACTGCACAAACCTCGCCGTTGTTGCTGGTTCTTCCATATTCTCCATACCCACATGCTCCACCTGATCATATACTATAACAATTACTGTATGGTGACAAAAATAATTTAAGAGAATTAATTAATAAATTAATGTGCAATTATACTGATTCCATACTTGGGTTTCCCATTTCGTCATTTGTCCTGTAATAAGTTGCTTTTGAAGAGAAGTTTCGTTGGGAGTGACAAAATGCTGGGAGTAGGAAAACAGAATACACAATAAAAACATTCCAATACTGGGGGAAAATGTTCATTTTCATTGAATCTAAGGTAGTTTGGATCACATATCTCCCTTAATTGTTTGTACATTAAATATATTTCAGGAAAATATAATGTTTTTTTCATGAAACAACTGTAATTTCCGATGAGTAGTATGAAGCATGGTGCTCCTACTTTCTCCACCTAGACTTCATACAATCCATGCCTTTTGTACCACCACTTTAATCGGTGCATACTCAGGGAAGAATACCCAAAAAGATCTAAACTAATTTAATGCAATAAGTACACAATTTAAAATGCTCTAAGTTTTATTTGGATGTAGTTAACATTCTAAAATTTCATTTATGAAATAAATAATATTAATTCCGTATAATCTAACTTTAATCGCATCCTCATAAATGCTTCGTGTATTTTAAATTATGAACGTAACACCATAAAATTACATTTGTGAAAAAAATATGATCAAGGTGATAACATAACTTTTATAAAAATATTGTGATACAGTACCAACACTCTCCTATAAATTATCTTAAACTACGTGAAAAGCTTAATGAGACACTTATTGTGATACAGAGGGAGTATCGTATAGTGTCTCATTCTCTCACCAGTACCAGTTGTACTAACCCGAAGGGGCCCTCACTAATATCTTCAGGTTGGAGCTTGTACTTGTTGCATGCACTCTCTTGCAAAGAGTGTGCTCGGGTGAAGACTTTGTTCATGCTTCCCCATTTTGTTTAAACTTCACTTAGAAATTCATGGATAAATATTTTTTATATTACTCTTGTATTGCGCCTGCGTGCCCGCATTATTTTTCGTTGCATAATAATTAATTAATTTTTTATTTATTCTATTGTTATGGAATACTTAGTGTGTATGATATACATGATGATGCCTTGTATAATTTGTAAATGGTTAACTATGATTGCCCTAGCTTAACGGGTTATACAGCGGTTGTTGACGACACCGGTGGGTCTGGGACATGAGATAATATAATATATTTTATAAAGATGGTTATTGATTACAGTAAAATTAAAGCTTGGTTCAACAAAATGTAATTCTTAGTTTACTACCTATTTTATAAATAAATTTAGTATGGATGCAATTTTGTTAATTTAATACTCCATCCGTCCCATAACTCCATAAGTACCTATATAGTAGTTCCGTTAATGCTTCAATAATATCATTTTGTTAGATGAAAAATAATCTATTTAATTCCCAAGCATATAACTAATAGTACGTTTTAATAAAAAATATATTTTGACTAGCTAGTATAGTACTCCGTAATAACGACTAAGGAGTAGTAACTAGTAACCAGAACCGTCCAGTTCCGAACCAGAATCGTCGATTTTGATTCCAAGTTTTGGGGAAATTGAACCGGACTAGTAAACCTCCGATTCCAAATCAGAAGTACTATACGTTTCCGGTTCCGGTTCAAAAACCGGCAATTCCGATTCCGATTGAAAAGCGCAGACGGGACTAGACGGAGATAGTTGAATTTACAAGTTACTGGAAGTCTCGTATCACTTATCGTACGCGATTACGTCCGGTAACACAAGTAATGGACCCCACGACCAACAAATTGCACATTAGTCAATATCTTTGCTTGCCAAGTCTTGAATAAGTATGCGAACTTTTTCCTTCTCTTTCTATTTTATTTTAAAAAATTAAAAAATGTTGTGAAATGAAGAAGATGAAGAACAAATTAAGAGATAGATATATTATTAATAAGCTCTAAATTACTTCTTCTTAATATCTGAAATTTTCTGAATTTCTGAAAGAATTTACAAGGCTTCATCAAGCTCCTATTTATAGTATTTGAGCTTGATGATTAGTCATCAAAAATGATCAATCTAAAGATTTGGTGGCAATAACAAATTGAGCCACCTATTCTAACTAGATTACAAGGATCATTACAAAGATGATGAATTGCTTGGTGTCCTAATGACAAGGATGAACTATTCACACTTGTCAATTCCTAGATTTTACAACACGCACTCCCCCTTGAATGTTCATCCTTGAGTAGGTATATTGTTATTGTGAAAAATTAGTGTAAAAACTAAAATTAAGGGGTAAGGTTTACGACATATAATGTCGTTGTATTTGGATGTACTGTCTCGTTAAAAACCTTATCAGGAAAAACCCAGTGGGATAAAAACTGATGAAGGGAAAAAGAGTGCAGTGCATTCAAATACTCTCCCCTGAAATTAACATAAATTCTGAAGGCGGCGCATGCCGATTTTCTGTACAAATTCTATGAATTTCTTCGGGGGCAATGACTTGGTCATTCTCCAGATGATCATGAGTAGAGATGAACTTTGGTGATATGTGTTTCGTTCTATCTCCTTTGATGCAGCCTTCTTTAATTTGAGCTAAACATGCAGTGTTGTCTGCATAGATCACAGTAGGGTGAACAGTAATAGACTTCATACCGCATTCATTTTAGATGTGTTGAATCATAGATCGCAGCCACACACATTCTCTTCTGGTTTCATATAATGCAATTAACTCCGAATGATTTGATGATGTAGCCGTCAATTTTGCTGCATAGATCTCCATGAGATTGCGGTGTTAACATAAGTAAATACGTACCCGGTTTGTGATTTCGCCTTTTGAGGATCTGATAAGTATCTATCGTCTGCATATCTGATTAAAGCAACTTTTGCATATTTGTGGTAGAATAAGCCGAGATCAACTATACCACGTAGATAACGGAATATGTGCTTGATCCTGTTCCAATGACGCCTTGTTGGACATGAACTGTACCTAGCTAATAAATTTACAAAAAATGCAATATCTAGTCTTGTATTATTAGCTAAATACATTAAAGCTCCGATAGCACTGAGATATTGTACTTCGGGATAGAGTATTTCTTCGTTGTCTTCTCGGGGACGGAATGGATCGTCGTGTATGTTGAGAGAACGAACCACCATCGGTGAAGCTAGAGGATGAGTTTTGTCCATATAAAACCTCTTCATAACTTTCTTGGTGTAATTTGATTGGTGGATGAAAATCCCATTCTTCAAATACTCAATTTGAAGTCTGAGACAAAATTTGGTTCTCCCGAGATCTTTCATTTCAAATTCTTTCATAAGCTATTTTGCGGTATTTTCAATTTCATCGGGAGTTCCAATAATATTTAAGTCATCAACATATACTGCAATTATGGCGAATCCCGAATTTGATCGCCGAATGAAAACATATTGACTAATTGGGTCATTTTTGTATCCTTCTTTAAGAAGGTATTCACTGAGACCATTATACCACATTTGTCCAGATTGTTTTAGTCCATACAATGACTTTTGTAGTTTAATGGAAAACATTTCTTGAGGTTTCGAGCTATAAGCTTGAGGCATTTTAAATCATCTGGGAACTTTAATATAAATGTTTGTATCGAGTGAACCATATACATATGCAGTCACTACATCCATTAGGCGCATTTGCAGACTTTCAAAAACAGACTTTCCAATGAGAAACCTTAATGTAGTTGCATCAACTACTGGAGAATAGGTTTCTTCATAATCAATTCCCGGCATTTGAGAAAAATCTTGGGCAACAAGTCGGGCTTTATATCTTACGATTTCATCTTTCTCATTGTGTTTACGCACAAATACCCATTTAAAACCCACAGGTTTTACGCCTTTTGGCGTATTCCAAAAACATCACGTATTTTAAGTGATTTTAATTCAGCCTAAATAGTTTCATTACATTTTGGCCAATCGGGTCGTTTCCGACATTCTTCAATTGATGTTGGCTCGTTGTCATTGTTTTCATTCATTACATCCGTGGCAACGGCATAGACAAATATCTCATTAATATCAACATCTTATCGATTCCATTGCATTCCAGTAGAAACGTAATTTATTGAAATTTCATAATTACAAATGTTTCTATCATTATCTGGAATATCTTCCTCATTTAAGGAAGTCGGATCATCATTTGAGATGTTTGTTTTGTCAATATCATTTTCTATGCCAGTGTTTTTAAATTGTTCATTTTCTTGTTCAGAAGGATGAACATCTTTGGCATCACAGATCAATTCCTGCCTTTTAATTTTTCTTGGTTTTATATCTTTTGATCCAAGTGGGCTGCCACACTTCTTGTGTATGGAAGAATAATTTGTTAGAGATTTTTCAGAATTCTCCGCTGGGATTTCGATTCTAGCAGGAGCATTCATAGCAGAAATATGTGACTGTGTCACTTTCTTTGTATGTGTGAGTGCATCGTGCAACTGATTTGCAACATTTTGTAAATGGATTATCTTTTGCACTTCTTACTCACATATATTTGATCTAGAATCAAGGTGCGATAATCCTGTTACATTCCATGTTATATCTTTCGTACTTGGGTCTGATTTATTATTTTCTCCCCCTAAGGTCGGGAATACTGTCTCATTATTGAAATGACAGTCAGCGAACCGTGTGGTGAATAAGTCACCAGTCACCAATCATTTTGCCAAGAGAACATGCCTTACAAGGAAAGTTACTTGATAATGGAACCCTAATATTCTTTAATGGGTGTCTAAGTGAAGTATTAATGATTTTATGCATCATTTCATGGCATGGGCGACCTAAACGGTCATGCCACAACATGAATTTTTTCTGATCATCTAACTTTGTGTTAGAAGTTAAATTTATTTCAAATAGACTAATATATGTGAAATATAGTCCTGATGAATATGCTGGCAGTTTTTCAGAAATATATTTAGTGCCAGAATTAGTTGTCGCAAGACAAAAATATTTCTTTTGATTTTCATTCATGGTTTCTATGTGATAACCATTTTGACGGATATCTTTAAAGCTTAATAAATTTCTCCGCGATTTGCTGGACTATAAAGCGTCATTTATAATTATTTTTGTCCCGTTAGGGAGCATCACATATGCTTTCCCGGAGTCTTCAATGAGCTTCACAACACCTGATATTGTATTGACTTTAGCTTCAACTAAAGTCATTTGAGAAAAATATATTTTATTTCTCAAGATGGTGTGCGTTGTAGCGCTGTCTATCAGACATAATTCTTTATCATTTGAGTGATTCATATCTGTAGGGGATGCTGTGAGAGTTTTGAGCAGATTCATGCTGATAACGTGTTGTGAAATGAAGAAGATGAAAAACAAATTTAAGAGATAGATATATTATTAATAACCTCTAATTAAATTACTTCTTCTTAATATCTGAAATTTTCTGAATTTCTGAATGAATTTACAAGGCTTCATCAAGCTCCTATTTATAGTATTTGAGCTTGACGATTAGTCATAAAAAAGGATGAATCTACAGATTTGGTGGCAATAACAAATTGAGCCACCTATTCTAACTAGGTTACAAAGATCATTACAATGAAGTCAATGATTATGAATTGCTTGGTGTCCTAATGACAAGGATGGACAATTCATAGATTTTACAACAAAGAAACATTAGTCAATGTGCTTTTGTTTGCCATTTGAATTTTGAAGTACGGGATATTTTTAATCAAGAAAATTTTCTAAATACTACTCCGTGGTAAACAATTAAACGTACTCCATAACAATTATTCTCAAACAAATAGGTGTAGCATTGTTTTCTTCTCAAACAAGGATTGCTACACTTAATCTGGAGGAAAAGATACTTGCTTCTAGCTTAGAATTGTGCTTGTGTTTTACTCGAACATTTTTTTTATTATTATTATGCTTGGCTCTTGGTAGAAGTTAGTCCGATCCTATTCAGGGAACAAAATTATAAGGATCCTAGTTCGATCCTAAGAAATTTCAAAACGTTTTTACTCCTACTCAAGACACTTCCTAAAAGTAAAAAAAACTTTTAGTAAAACCATGTACTCCCTCCGCTCAAATTCACTTGCAAAGTAAACATTTGTTGTCAACTACTATATATTACGTATTAAAGTTAAATCCTCCCAATTGAAAAATAATTCAATTTTAATAATTAACGGTTACATATTCGGATTACTATATTAAAATTTCTATAAAATTAAAAAATGAAAATTAGAGCAAACTCACAAATCCATATCCCAATTAAATGAATAAAATGAAACTGTCATGAAAAAAATTGATTTTACAAACTATAATGACAAGTTGTCGGGGATTCAGGGAATGCCAGCAAGTCACTTTTGTAAAGTAACTTTCCCGACCTTATAAATAGATATGGTGTGTAGTTTATTTTAGGGTTGGGCATATATGAAGGTTTTTTTTTTAATTTCTGTAGTTGGATTCGGTTTGGTTCGGTTTTTATCGGTTTCGGTTCGATTTAATACGGTTTGGAAGAAATAGTACCCAACTCAAACCAAATTGCATACGGTCTGTTTCGGTTCGGTTTAGTTCAGTTTGGTACGGTTCGGCTCGGTTAAACCAAACCATTATGTTCACCCCTAGTTTGGGATAAAGACCAAAAATGACACTAAAGTTTTTAGCGAATCTCGGATTAGACACTAACGTTTTAAGTAGAACAAATAAACACAAAATTATAGTTTTTTGGTCCATTTATACCACCCTTTAACGCTTCTGTTACCCTTCCCCGTCGTTTACTCCCCATCGTTCCAAAAGCCCTTGCCCCACCCCAATCCAAGACCCTGTCCCTCCCCAGCCCCAAGTCCAACCCCTGTTCTGCCCTTGCCAGCTCCCCAGCTCCTGATCCGAGCAGCCCACCCCCGATCCGCACTCCCTAGGTTGAACTCCGACCAGCCATCCCCAGCCTCCCAAACCAGCCGCCACCCGAGCCCCAGCCTCCTCGCAACCCCCCTCTCAGCCTCGTAGCCCTCGTCACCAGCCAAGCTGCCGAGGAGATGCTACAGATCGAACGGAGCACGGCCAGATCTAGATCTTTGCTAGCGACGTAGAGATGAAACGACGGTAAGGCAGAGCGGCGGTGAGGCGAAGCGTCTTCAAGGCAGGACGATCGACCTCCATTGTTGCTTTCTCTCCTTAATCCAAATCCTTGCCATTGTTGTCTGCTCCAAGGTAGCTTTAATTGGATGGGGGAGTTAACGGGGAAGGGGTGTTAATGGGGAAGGAGTTAAAGGGTGGTCAAAATGGACCCAAAAACTATAATTTTGTGTTTATTTGGTTTACTTAAAACGTTAGTGTCTAACTCGAGATTCGCTAAAAACCTTAGTGTCATTTTTTGTCTTTATCCCCCTAGTTTATTTGGAGTCATTGATCAGGTTAATTATATATCTACCATACGTTTTTTTAGAAAGGGTGATTCATGGATTATAGGTGGGCATTATGGGTGGTTTTGGTTTCTGGATATGGAACTCTGGTTGTAGATGGTACGCAGGGGCTGTTTACCTAGGATTTAATGAACTTAATAGATATGGTGACTTAATCATTCAGTTATAAAGTTGTGGTTACTTAAAACTTAACAAAAAAGATGACTTATTCGCTCAGACAAATCATAACTTATTCGTTCAGCCCAAAAACTATACTCCTTCCGCTTCAGACCTGCAAACGGACGAGTTTTCTCGCTTTTAACCTCTGAGATAAGAATTCTGCCCTCTGAACTAGTCTCTAGCAGAGGGTCATTTTCGTTGGAAGCAGATTGAAACCTCCATCAACTTGTGTATTTCTTTGGATGATTCGTTAATTGAATATTTGCAAAATTCCTCTATTTCATATCAAAATAGAGTTCCGCTTCCCCATTTTTCCTAAAGATCTATGCGTCTTACTTGTTCCCAGACAAATCCTCTCTTATCGTCAAGATCTGGCATGAATTATTTGTAAATCGCTATTGATGGAAGAATCAAATGCATTTGTTCTATGAGATTATATATATGTCAATTCATGTCGATTTGATGAAGCATTATCGTTCTTTTTAATTCATTAAGGTGAACTTTATTCAATTTAGTTTTGCGTAGCTCTTCTCTTCAAATTAGATTATTGGTTACTGAATTGAATTTTAGAATGTAGTTGTCATTTTTATTTTAATTTTTCTTATCATGTAAGGTGATTCTCTTTTTTGGATGTGTGATTCTTTTATTTTAGTGATTCATAATGTAATAATTTTTAGGTGTATGAAATCGTCTTTAATTAGGGCCAATTCAGAATAAGGAAAGTAATCTAATAATATATACATTCAGTATTTGTAATAGACAGAAGGGTTATTTGGTCATTTAACATAATTCAGAATTCTTATTCAGCACACATAGTAAACAGTTTGATATCATAGTGTCACTTAATTCAGACAGACGTCTTAATTCAGACAGACGTCTTAATTCAGACAGACGTCTTAATACATTCAGGACTTGATGAGAAAAAAAGTAAACAGTCTCGTAGTGTTTCATGGAATGGGACTATATATCTGGCTGGTGACAGTGCCGCTGGAACAACAGACTATGATTTCATATGTGCTACCTTGGATTGGTGGCCTGAGACTAAACGTGACACTAATTTAAGACTCATCCAAACTGTCCTTGGGCCAATGCTTCTCTGCTAAATTTGGTATGCCTTCCATTTCTTTATAAGCTAAATACTACATTAAATTATACCGTACACCCGGTTGTACGGTGCTCACCGTACAACCGGGTATTTTTGCAATTAATTACAATTCCAATGGTAAAGATTTTTCCCTGTTGTGCTTCTCACTGATGTCCTGGGAGTTGGGGATCGGAAGGAGGCGCCGGTTGATATGATGCTGCTCGTCGGCTGAAGTCTGGAGTTCCGATCGTCGATCGATGCTACTGGGATGGCTCTGGCTCGCTGCTCGCTGGGATTTCCGATGAAGGAAGAATTCGTTGTGGTCTCCAATTCTATCAAAAGACAAAGTGTCGTGTTCCTTACTTTAGTTCTGGAATCTGACACATTTCTATTCTATTTTAATATTATATTTTAATATTATATTTTAATATTATATTTTAATACTATATTTTAATATTATGTGATAATATTTTCATCTTATTAATTACTAAGCTTTATGTTATAATTAGAATGAGACAATGTATATAATAAATATGCATTACTGTTAAAAGAATTAAGAAAAAATGGCGTGCGTATGACAACTGGGCTTTTGTTTTCCACAAATGTAAAACGTTTGACCTTTTTTCAAAAATGTGACTGAGTCCGTTTCAAGCAAACCAACCCAGCCCAACCAACACCCGCGTATCTATCTTCGTCTTTAGCCCTTAGCGTAGCAATCCATCCATATCAATTGAAGGAGAAGACCAAGACCAGACCTCTTCTCCTGCCGCCACCGCCGTCGCTCTCTTGCAGCCGTTGCCGCCGTCCTGCAACTTCTTCTTCTTATTTCTTCTTCGCCCCTTCTTCTTCTCCACTGCCTGCAACGGAAATCGGCGGCTTCAACAGCGTCTTCAATGGATGTGCCTCCGCTCCATCTGTCATCCACGATGGAGTGTTGCAGGTACCGAATCCTCTCTCTTTGGTGGACAATGACTCCGATATGGAGCCGCCAGTGCCGGATCTCAAACCTATATACTGCTGCTAAGGGTGCAGTGACGGTTTCAGATCTGTGGTGAAGTTCCTAGCGGCGATTGCGCAGCGCTGGGTTGGGGTGTTATGTGCTGGGGTGCGGTGGCCGATCGGAGTGGTTACTGTGGGGGCGGAGATGGTTCATTGGCGAGGCGGGGGCAGAGTACTGGACAGGGATTGTGCACGGCTGGGGTGTGGTGGGGCTGGGGCTGGGTGCGGTGAGGCTGGGGTGTGGTGAGGCTGGGGTGTGGCGGCAGCCTGGTCGGCTAGGGTGGTTGGTTTGAGGTGGTTTAGTGGAAGGGGCGGATAACGATAGTCACTGACCGAGGAAGGAGGCGGCGGCAACAGTCACTGGATATGGGTGGTGGCGGCAGTCACTGCCGGGGGCGGTGGCGGCAGTCACTGCCGAGAGTTGTGGTAGTTGCAGCTGTCACTGGACGGGGCTGGTGGCGACTATAATTCCGGTCACTATGTTTCCGTGATCTAATTCCGGTCACTATAATTTCAGATGTAATTCCGGTCACTATAATTTCAAATGTAATGGCAATGACTATAATTCCAGTCACTACAACATAATGCACCATACTTGTCAACCGTAAGCAATCCCACGTACAGATGGTCATATAATTGGAACTTTATCATTTAACTCTCTTTTTTGTCATCCCGTCTTTTTTTAGTAATATCTATAAAAAAAGGCCAAGAATTAAACATACATATTTAAATATTTGAGCACATTAGAAAAATCAAATGAGCATACATAAATGAATAAATATATTTGAACATATTAAAGAGTTCAAATGAGCTTTCTAATTTGGTATGCTCATTTTGTAGGTTATGTACACTTAACTGGTATTAGTTTTATGCTCATTATAAAATGACATATCAATACATATTTCAAAACTATCACATTACATTGCATTCACATGAGAGTTGATTATAGACACGAGAGGAGAGATCATGATACTCAATTGCACACTTTTAATACTCAATAGAGAGGTGTTGATGCTCAATGAAAAATGTTTGATGCTCAACTAAAGATGCTTATTGTTTTCATATTTGTTGGTCCAAAATAGGACACTCGTAGGCTTTTAGGAAAGCTACGATAGACACTCAAGCAGGAAAATAGAAAGTACTACGAAAATGGAAAGTAGCCAGAGAGTTTGAGAGCCAGAAATAGCATATCCTTCATTTGAACCAAACTTGCCTTTTATAGACGATTACATATGGTAACTGCCGAAGATACTAATGACTAATTAATTACATTATTAACATGAAAGTAAACACATAATTAAATCGTGCATTAATTGCCCTGGCCGTTACTGTTCGTGGCTGGCGGGTCGGCCCGGCTGGCAGGCCGGTCGTTCGGGCCCCTGGGGCGGCAGGCTTGCGCTGGACTTCCGCTAATCCTATTCTTCTAAAGGCAATAAAAGGTATACATAGTCTCATTTATATCCACCCATGGTCCCATATATATCTAAGTATATATATGTCATACTCGTAAGCAAGCAATTGCAGACCATATTAGTCTGACCATTCAATTCAATTTAGAAAAGAAACCGCACAAATGTTTGGTCTACATCGTATACACGATCTGCACATATTGTCTGTGTATGCAAACAGAGTTATCTGTATACAGATATTTCTGTCTGTACACTTAGACAAACAATGTGTGCTAATGGTGTACATCAAACACTTTTCAAAAACGTAACAAATACCTCTTGTGTAATTGATGTCATCGGAGAGGATCAAAGTCATGCTTGAGTGTGATGACCTCATCATCTTCATTAGAAAAAAATGAGAAAAATAATTCAAATACTCCAAACTTTGAAGGATTTTGAGCTAAACACCTCAAATTTACTTATGTAATTTAAATACCTCAAATTTTACATAAAAAGTTATTTTAGCTCATGGTCATATGATAATTTAACATTTACGGTTATATTATTTATGGTGAAAATTTTTATGCTCATGGTGCTAACATAACTCTAGATAATGAAATTACATTTGCAAGTTTGAGGTGTTTATCTCACACCCCTTCAAAGTTTGGGTTGTTTGAATTATTTTTCTCTAGACATATATTTATTACATATTTTTTAAATTCACGTAAAGATAAGATATTAAGATCAGTTATCAAATGAGATTATTTTGATTGGAATTTCACTACTCTTTGCAAAACATTTTAATTGGATGGTCATTATCAATTACGGAGTATCATTATTATCATTATCAATACTATCACTCTCACTATCATCATGATTGTTATTGTTATCATCTTTGCAGCATTCTCTCCTTTAAAAATTCGATTGGGTGGTACTTTACAAGATAAGGTCATCTACCAAACGAGTGCTAATGAAACATGCAAGCAATTTCGTTATAACAACAATGAATTATTTCAATTCACTGAAGGGTGCTTAATTACCTTTGTCGAAATGGGATGAACTAAATTGCTTCTTCAAACGATCAGGGTAATAGTCGTTATACTTTTCAATGTCCAACTTTGATCATCAATATAATTAATTGATTATTACTTAAATTTATTAAAAAAGCATATCTCAAGCTAAAATTAAAATTGATGCACGCATTTGTAAATATATTTTTCATAATACTCCGTATAATTTTGAGTACATAATTTGTATTACCCTCCATTTCTCTTTTTGGTAAGTGATTCACATAATTTCTTATACATTTCTCTCTTCTTTCCATAACTTTACACTACACAACACTAACTATTGAATCCTGATGCCAAATATACTTTGAAAGATCATTTAGGGAGATAGGATATACATTAATTATACTATTTGGTGGACAATTCTACCTAAATGTGATTACATACCCGTGTTCTACGTTATTCAGCGCTGCTATCATTTTTTGCTTGAATGCTCTATATGGAAGAGACAAATCCTGACGGCTCTACTTAGCAAGACTGTGATTCAACAAATGCTGATCGAGTTTCTCATTCAATAAGGGTTATCATATATTCATATCTACGGCTGGGAACTGGGTAAGACCTCACAATATTATACTCCCATATGCGAAATATATACGAATTTTAACGTTTGTCTACACGCAAGTTTTATGACTTTTATCATTAATATATTTCGTTCCTTGTTAACTAGTAAAAAATTAAAAAAAATCTGATTTCGAAAATGTAAAATGAAAGAAATTTAACAATATTTTTCAAAGAGTTAATTTATAGTGCAAAAATAAATAAAATATACTCCGCAATTAAATAGAACACGTAAATAGTGCAAATTAAAATTATCCAATATTCTAACTAAAAAGAATAGAGGTTGTATGTACGTAGTACTCCGTATTTCTTAATGTTGTACTCGCCCGCTTGTCCTTTTAGTTACTCATCTATGAATTTTCAAGCCTATATATATGATGCTCAAATGCTTGACCAAAATTTATTAGGGAAATTGCCCGGATTCCTTTAAACAACTTTCAGAATTTCAAAATAAGACTGCTATGTTTTTCTTCCTGAAATAGAAGTTGTTATTGTCATAATTGAAAATTACCGACATAGTTGAATAATACTGCCATTAATTATAATAAATATTGTCATGTTGAATGCATAATACTGCAATTATTTGGCAGTCATGACTAAAAAAAATTAATAAAGTCAAATAAAGTCTTCTACTATTACGAAATAGTCACATAAGACCATGTATTTAATAAAATGTTATGAAAAGCAATCAGATGAGTCCTAACGACCCGTTGATAACATCTTATTCCCGATTTTTTTTGTAAGAGGTCGTCAACGGGTCATTAGGACTCGTCGATCTCATTGAATACATGTACATCCTTATGTGAAGATTTCATAATAGTAGAAGGCCTTATTTGACATTTTTCCCTTAGAGAGAATTTCCTAAATAAGAGTAAAAACGTTTTGAAATTCCAAAATAGGACAATCATGTTTTTTATTTCCTGAATAGGAGTAAATATCTGCCAAGTTTGGCATTACTAGGCCTTAAACATGGCATTTTCTCCAAACTTGACAGATTATTTCTATTCAGAGAATAAAAAACATGATAGTCCTATTTTGGAATTTCAAAACGTTATGTAAGAGTGGTCGCCGACCCACTCTCCCTTGTGAGAGGTCTCGGATTCAAAACTTAATGGAGTGAATTTCAGCCTAATTTACTCCAAGCCCCCCAGACCCCCTCCCCCAGACGCCTCTTGGACTAAAAAAAAATAGTTGTTAAGAATTGAAGCACTGGGCGTCGCTAACATAAGGGAAAATTTTTCATGATGTTCACTATGTTCCGATCAAGAAGCCACCACTCTCATTGGCATCATACTTTTGCACATCCCTGCAGTCGTATTTTAAGTTCAATTAATACTTCATCACTTTAAAAAATAAATGAAATACCCTTTACATCAAACTTTATACATGGATTGTCACACAATATAACCGATGTGATTGAGATAGTGAAACGAGTTATATTTAATTTTTTTTTAAATTATACAAATGATATGTGTTGCACTATTTTTCACTTGACCAAGTCTTGTCTCACAGCTGCCTCTACAAGCTTTTTAACGAGCCGCCATTACAAAAGTGTCTAAAAAGAATAATGTATATATATCTTTTTTGTAATGTTTGTTTTGCAATGTACATCTAAAGAGGAATGTGTTATGTAATATGTGGATGTTGCGATCTACTCCGTATTACTTTGCCTGGCTCATATGTATATTATTATGATATGTTCCATTATCATGTGACCCTAATTAGTCTCATTCTCCCATATATATGTGTGTGCGCGGGCTAGAGAGTATATGTCAATGAAATACACAACTTTTGATCCGATTCATTATACATTGCTAATTTTTCTTCACAAGAGTTTATTAATTTAATAAAAATAAATACTATTTTAAAATAAGAAAAGTAATAAAATTCATGAAAACTTAGGTTCTAGATTGATAGTTTTCAATCACTTGGACCCTATATCGACACATGTCGTATTTCAGGTCCCGATTGATAAAATTTCACAAGAATGTTACTAGAAATTAAATAACGGAGATGTTGGGATGATGGCCCAGATAAAGGGCCGGCCCATTCACCCCCTAATCCAGACGAACGTCTAACCCAACGTGGCAGCCAGCCCCGACGAACGTCTGCACGAAGACAAGTGGATCAGACCCACATGTAGTTACAACGGCGACGAACGTCGACTCCAGAAACCAACCATTTGGAGCCAGTCCAATCCGCGTAACAAATCCTTTAAGGGCCAGGATACGAACGGCCCATTACCTTTTGCAGTATCATCAGGAGCAGGCCTCCATCCCGGCTGGACGTACGTCTCCACAACTTAGGCGGGAAACTCATATTCTGGCTGGAAGCGCATTTAATGCTGGAGATTTGGTGGTTGGGACACCAACCACACACAGCCCTCCACGTCAGCATAGCCAACTGTCCATTGGTAGTATAAATAGCAGCATTTAGATTGCGCTTACTCGCCTAGCACCATACTATACACTCTATAGAAGCCTTCGTGTTGTTCCGGTCTACGCCATCGGAGGAGAAGAAATAGTTCGCGGGAGGGAAGCTATACGCCATAGGAGAGTTGCACGTAGCGGGGTGACACCGGGGTGCCGCTGACGTCAGGAGAGATACACCGCCGCCGAGCTGC